TGTAACATTCGTTAAATTTACTTACTTGACGATGTTGTGTCCTCAAAATGCCTTGAAGACTCAAATGCAGCCAAGTTTGTGATTCCAAATCGCGCCCGTGATCATACGCGTGTGACGTGCGGATGTCAATGCGGGAGAGGTGCGTCTGACTCGGGGCTACTTTTACACTGCTGCCGCGGGTTATTATTCAAGTTCAAGCGGTTCTAAATACAAATAAATAAGCGCTAAGAGCACATGACATCGTGAAAATAGGGGGAAATATTAACAGTTGGTGAAACATCTACAGAAAAAATATAACTGCTACCGGATTAACCTGGCTGCCTTTTCACTAGATCCTCTGCTTTGCAGCACAGTTAATGATATGCTAAGGATAGGATCCCTTGACGCGATTGGTTATTGAGTTTTGTGACGTAGCAAAACAAAGGCTGTTTCAAACCGCGTTTCTGTGACTGCCTTTGGGAAACTACAGTTTTAAGGAGAAAATACTCCGCAATGGTGTTGATAAATGGATTGGCACATGGTTTGTCTAAAAACATATTAAAAACAACACATAGACAAATAAACAACATAAAAAAACTTGATTTTCACCATAGGGGGACTTTAAGGAAATTTCCGTATGTATTTTTTTGTTTACAGGTGTTTAAGCTGTATTTTAAATTTTGCACTTAAGTGCGTTGTGTTTTAGGATGAACAGAAATGTTTGTAAAAATTAATGGATGATGTCCTGGCAGAAAATTACTATAAATTATTAATATTCAGTACAACAGTGTGAGATATTGCTTTTTCGATACAGTTAAGCAAAAATGAAGTTGATAGCAAGTAAGTAACTTTTCAAACTAAAGCTGACCAGTTAGTTTCTATATAGGAAAATGAAGATGTTATGTAAGGTGGGGTGTTTGAGTTTGTGGCACAGCAGAGCTCTAATAGTCTTGCCTAAATGTTTGTGTGGGCCTAATGAATAGGTTTAAGTTGCTCAGAGGTCCACTGAACTAAAAATGGACATTTCTAGCTTAAAATAATGGACATGGTCCAAAAAAGGTAATGTTTCTAATTTATGTTAAAAAAAAAGTAAAATTGTTTGTGCATGTCCCATAGCTCCCCTGTCTCCTCCAGCACAAGAGTATGTCTTCAAACCACCTCAACGGCCAGACTTTGGCACAATGGGTAGGACAATCAAACTTCAGGCTAACTTCTTTGAAATGGAAATACCCAAGTTGGAGGTGTACCATTACGACATAGACATCAAGCCTGAGAAATGCCCACGGAGAGTTAACCGGTAACATCTTTTGACTGAAACTTGAAATTTCAACTGTTTGTTTGGGAAGAAATTTATACTTACTTTTTTTTTGTAGTGAAATCGTTGAGCACATGGTCCAGCACTTTAAGACGCAGATCTTTGGAGATCGAAAGCCTGTGTATGATGGAAGGAAGAATCTCTACACTGCCATGCCTTTACCCATTGGAAGAGACAAAGTATGCACTAGTAAAGTAATAATAAATCTGTGTTGGCTTTGTGATGTTCACATTTGATAGAGCAGTCACTGAAATATGTTTTACTCTGTACCTACTCAAAATGCTTTATTGAAGTCTTTTTACATTTTATGGAGTGTCACATCATACTGATGTCCCAAACTGTTCTTTTAGGTAGAGCTGGAGGTCACAATTCCAGGGGAGGGAAAAGACAGGAGCTTTAAAGTAGCTATAAAATGGGTGTCCTGTGTGAGTCTGCAAGCTCTACATGAAGCACTGACTGGACGGCTACCAAACATCCCCTTTGAGACTATTCAGGCTCTGGACGTTGTCATGAGACATTTGCCCTCTATGAGGTTAATGGCTGTGTTTTGTTGACACTGTTTTCCATATATCACTATTAGGGGGCCTCATACTTCATCCTTCTGCACACTGTGCTGTTTTAACACATGTTATTGTTGTGTCTGCAGGTACACTCCAGTCGGACGTTCATTCTTCACTCCCTCTGAGGGCTGCTCCAACCCCCTCGGTGGAGGAAGAGAAGTTTGGTTTGGCTTCCATCAGTCTGTGCGACCATCCCTCTGGAAGATGATGCTCAACATTGATGGTCAGTGTGCACTGACATCATTTGCATTAATAAATGTTTCTTGAAACTTTCTTATACAAATCTTTGTTTTGTAATATTTATATTTAGTGTCTGCCACTGCATTCTACAAAGCTCAACCTGTGATTGAGTTCATGTGTGAGGTTTTGGATTTTAAAAGCATCGAAGAGCAACAGAAGCCCTTAACAGATTCCCAGAGAGTGAAGTTTACCAAGGAAATCAAAGGTGATTCATTACAGTAATTAATGCCATCCCTAATGATTTTTATGGACTTAATTTTTGAACACTGATTTTTTTTTTTACCTATCAGGTCTGAAGGTTGAAATCACTCACTGTGGACAGATGAAGAGAAAATACAGGGTTTGTAATGTGACTAGGAGACCAGCCAGCCATCAAACGTAAGATGTTTTAAATGGCTGGAGCTCTTTCTGTATGAATGCCAATGCGTTTTATATTCCTCATTTGGATGACGCAGCGTTAAAGGTCAATGCTTTAAAAATGTATTTTGCTTGTCTCCAGGTTTCCTTTGCAGCAAGAGAATGGTCAGACCATTGAATGCACTGTTGCCCAGTACTTCAAGGATAAGTACAAACTGGTGCTGCGATATCCACATCTCCCATGTTTACAAGTTGGTCAGGAGCAGAAACACACCTACCTTCCGCTGGAGGTTGGTCAAGACCACATCTTAGGCTTACTTTTTTCAACCCATCTTTCTCTCATTTCTTTCTCTGAATGTCGTTTTCCCTTTTTTTTTTTTTTAAATGCAGGTCTGTAACATAGTAGCCGGACAGAGATGCATCAAGAAACTGACAGACAATCAGACCTCCACTATGATACGTGCCACAGCCAGGTCTGCGCCTGACCGTCAGGATGAGATCAGCAAACTGGTATGTGCAGCTCTCTGTCCTTTTTCGGTCTTCTAAATCTCATCCACACCTCATGATGGATTTCATTTGGTTGTGACAGATGAGAAGTGCCAACTTCAACACTGATCCTTATGTGCGTGAGTTTGGAGTTATGGTAAGAGACGAGATGACTGAGGTCAATGGTCGGGTCCTTCAGGCACCTTCAATTCTCTATGGTGGAAGGGTAGGAACCTGTTCTGATCAACTTGACGTTTATCTTGCCGACCTTGTCATTGAATTCCAATCTGGATGTGTCTTCCTAATTTGGTCATGTCTCTCTGGCTTTTTTCAGAACAAAGCAATAGCAACCCCAGTCCAGGGTGTGTGGGACATGAGGAACAAGCAGTTCCACACAGGGATTGAGATCAAAGTGTGGGCTATTGCCTGCTTTGCCCCGCAGAGGCAGTGTACAGAACTTCTTCTGAAGTAAGTCAGCTTTGACCTGGATCTGGAGAAGTATTTGTATTTGGTGGAGTTTTTTAAAAAGTTCAGACCCTTACTTGGTTGAATCCTTTGTTTGTTTTCTCTAGGGCGTTTACTGACCAGCTCCGTAAGATATCACGTGATGCTGGCATGCCCATTCAGGGCCAGCCGTGCTTTTGCAAATATGCCCAGGGAGCAGACAGTGTGGAGCCCATGTTCAAACACCTCAAGTACACTTACCAAGGCTTACAGCTGGTGGTTGTCATCCTACCTGGGAAGACCCCTGTTTATGGTAATTTAACTTCTCTCGGTTTCTTTAGTGTTTTTGTTTGCAGTGTGTTTGTAATAGGGATGCACCGGTATCGGGCCCGATACTGAGCTTCTGTACTCGTACTCGTTAAAATGCCCCGATACCAAACGCCGATACCACACAGCATGTGATAAGTGCCATATTCAGACAAAGAAACACCGACAACAGACAGCAGAATGGAGTTATTAGAGATTAAAGATGTCTACGAAGTATATGTATGCAATAAATAAAACATTCAGTATTAATGCCTGTATAACTAATTTGCACCAGCTGGTAAGCAAATCACGCTGAGTGGATTGAGCGCGTGGCGGCTCAGATGCGCGAGCTTGTCGAGTCGATCCCTTTCTCATAGACATCACTGGAAAGTTTGTAGTTCGGTCGGATATGTCAAAAAGAAGCAAGTAAAACAATGCACAAGTTACTTAATGTTTGGTAGGGAGGGAGGGAGAGAGAGAGAGAGAAAGAGCGCATGCACTTCTGTTGTGTGATCTTTATTGATGTTCGCTCACTTAGCACGCATCATTTGGATTAAAACTAAATCGTAAATATAAGACAATTTATAGGGGCATTCACTATAAACGTCATTTATTTTCACCCTTAAGCATACACGACTTTCTGGCGAAAGTGAAACTATAACAGCCTGTGTGAAATGTGCTAGGCTGTACTGTACTTGTCACTCTCATTCTGCACCAGTACAAATACGTGTGCGCGTTGCGCGTGTTTTGCTTGCTTCATGAGTGTTTCTGCATTATATGAGTGGCTGTGGAATATAAATCGCTGCACGTTTCAGATGAAAAAAACGCGACTTCTATTTATGAAAATATCACAGTTAGGAGATTTATAACAAGTGGTTCC